GTGTGTGTGTGTGTGTGTGTGTGTATTAGAGGCTTTGGTGGTCCGGTCTCTGCAGGTCTGGGCTGGTTGTGTGTATATTGAGGTAATGTTTCGTGCTTTGTGTGTCTGTGTGTTTCCATCCTTCCTTTGGCAAACAGAGCTGCCATCACTCACTCAACACGGAAACCTGTGTGTGAATCGCTTCTTTCCGCTGTGGAGTTGAACTGTCAGGATAAAACACTTTCTTTGTTGCAGCTGCATAAACAGAAAGTGATAGCAAACAATGAACCGTACTGTTTTTTTCTCATATGAAACCATTTAATATAGACCTTAGCAACCACATAGCAACACATATCATTGACGGATTGCAAGGACAGCAAATTCAGTTTTCTTCAGAATTTGCTGATGAGATGTGAGATGATCATGTATGGCGATGCTGATGTGTATGGATGGATTATCTTATGGATCTGGGTTTTTTTTCTTTGCGTGGAAGGTTATCTGTCGCGTGTGCTGAGGAATTACACCGAACAGGCGTGTGACGGAGAATTCCTGACTGTTCGCTGCCCGCCCAGAACCTCCATCACCGTCCAATCGGCTTTCTACGGCAGAACAGACCCCGCACACTCACCTCAGTGCCTGTCCCCTTACAGCAGTGCTGGACCACTCTCAGTGCATGACATCACTTCCTGTCATGTGTCCACATCCTTGCAGGTAAATAGTGATAAGAAATTCAATCTTTACACCATCCACTCAGTTCCAGTGTTATATACTATTATACTATTTATTAATATTTATTTTTAGATTTCAGTTTTCATATTATTTTGATTTAAGTCAGAGTAATGTTGTTATGTGCGTTTGTCATTTTAATATTTAAAATTTTATATTATATATTTGTTTTATATTTTTCTATTTATATAAATAATATTTGTTTTTTAATATTTCTTTTAGCGTACATTTTTAAAATTTCAGTTAAGGTTACGTTTTTGTAATTTTTTGTGCTTTTGTCATTTTTATGTTTTATAATTATTTCTGTTTAGCTTTCATTTATTTTATTTCAGTTTTTCAGTTTCATTTTGTTTTGCGCTTTTGACATTTTTATTAGTTATTGTTTTTTATATTTCTGTTTAGCTTTTTTTCCAACTTTTAAGTTTGTCATTTTGATTTGGTGCTTTTATCATTTTATTAATTATTTTTAACGTTTTTATTTAGGCTTTCATTTATTTATTATTTCAGTTTTTATGTTTTAATCATTTTGTTTTAAACTTTTGTCATTTTATTAGTTACTGGTTTTTTAATATTTCTATTTAGCTTTAATTTTTTTATTTCAATTTTAGTTTAAGTAATTTTAGAACTTCAACTTAAATTAATTTTATTTCACTTGCCAAGGCTCCGTTTCTTATTTTCATTTTCATCTTATTTTCAAGTTTTTTTTAAGTCTAAGCGTTTCATCTAATATTAATATTTTACCTAATTTTAGCTTTATTTCAATAAATGAAAATGTTTTTTAATAGTTTGAATTGTATTTAACAGCAAGAACACTGATTCCAGATGAATGAAATCAAGTCAAGTCAAGTCAAGTCAAGTCACCTTTATTTATATAGCGCTTTTAACAATACAGATTGTGTCAAAGCAACTGAACAGCATTAATTAGGAAAATAGTGTCAATAATGCAAAGTGACAATAGTAAACACTCATTTTTCAGTTAAAGACAGTTCATCATTGAATTCAGTGATGTCAACATCCAGCTTAGTTCAGTTTAAATAATATCTTTGCAATCATGTCAACGATAACGCTGGAAATGAAGTGTCCCCAACTAAGCAAGCCAGAGGCGACAGCGGCAAGGAACCAAAACTCCATCGGTGACAGAATGGAGAAAAAACCTTGGGAGAAACCAGGCTCAGTCGGGGGGCCAGTTCTCCTCTGACCAGACGAAACCAGCAGTTCAATTCCAGGCAGAAATTAGAAATTAAGTTTCTACAATATTTAGTGGTAG